CGGACTCCAAGCATGCTTGATTTCTCTGATTCCTCGAGTTGAGTCGTCTAATATATTTGTTGTCAACGCTGGCTGATATGTTTGGGCCCCAGGACCATTGCTCAGTTGGATTCGTTCTCTGATTGTTTCAGACTGCACGGTCAGTGGTCCGAGGACTACGCGATGGCACTCGGTACGCCAGGTGCATGCCCCATTGGGTTGGCCAGCGCTTGCGCATTGCCCATCCGACCATGCCCGAGAGGCTCTGGAGTGACGACCGTTCGCAGCGAGCGTGTGGATCACGCTCTCACGTTCGGGCCACCCTCATCATAGGAAGAACCCTGACGGCCGAGCTCCTCAGAGACCAGCAGTTGAGCCTCCCCCCAAAGAGCGCCCCCACCTGCTCACATCCTGAGGATGCTCGTGCAGCTGCTCGCGCGTTGAGGAGACGGCCCATCATGATCCCCCCCACCCTTCAGGCCAGCTACCTCGGCTTGGACCTGGGAGTTGGACGACGACATGCACGTGAGACGGCGAGGAAGCTCGTCGCCAAGGGCGGGACCCAAGCTGCCAAGCTTAGGGGCTTCGCTGGAGCGGCTTGTCGCTTCCACGCTACGGCCAAGTTTCAAAGAGCTGGGCCCCAAGCAATCTCCACCGACGGGCGCTAGGTCTACGACGCCCACGGCAGCCACATGGTCGCGCAGCGCAGGAGGCTCGCCACAGCGGCTGGAGCTATGCGCCGCGGCCGCTGCACCACGACGCCGCTTGCCATCCGCGTGACAGACGGAGACCCAGGCTTGGCGTTGCCCCGTTAGTGCCTGCAGAAATGGTTCAGCGTGTGGCTCGGAGCCCAGGATTAGGCCAAGTGTTCAGCGCGTGAGTTGTCTTGCGGAGGCCAGCCGAGCTTGACATGTTCGCGGACCTGTCTTTGCTGATATTACTTATTTGTCGTCTGCGAGGCGGAACTCCATCACTGCCACATAATGGAACACGTCGAATGACATCGCCGAGGACAGGTCTTGCTGGAAGCAAGGTAATGATCAGTTCTTTGCCTTGGACCAGGCGACCCCACTTATGGATAAGTTGGAGAGATTCCTCAGCAGACGGCAACTGAGGAAAGCAGCGGAGCATCTTTGCGGCAGCGGGCTCGGGGAGGGTGCAGACCTTCTCAGCCTTCGCAAGTGTATTCCTGAGTTACAGTTCGTTCGCAAAGGCCGTCAACTTGCTGAGCTGATGGCATCTATCGCCTCGGGCGTCGCGTGGACCAACCTTCGGAAGCGGGAAGCAGGGCTGCGTGAGTCGGCCGGGTGCGAGCGCTGCGGACATCAGATCGAGTCAGCTTTCCATCGCGTCTGGCCATGTCAGGACAACGAGGGTTCTCCCGAGCCTCCACGGAGTCCCAGGACTGCTCCCCTGAGGCTGCCGCGGAGCAGGAGGCGCACGCTTGTTTCTCGATGCGGGGCTTGACCATCGCCGACTGGACACGCGCGACGGAGCCGCCAGACATCGAGCCGTGGGTCACGGGCAACATCGACGGGCGCCTGGCGCCCGGCTGCCCGGGCGAGGGCTCGGCGGGCTCGGAGGACACCCCGCGGCTGGTGTTCGGCGACGCCTCGGGAGGTGCGGACACCATGGACGTGCGTCTGAGGCGCGTCGGGGAGGCCGCGACAGTCATCACCGACTTCGGGCCCGTGCAGACGGGGCCCTACGTGCTGGGGTCGCCTGCAGGGAGGAGCCAATCGGTTCCTCGAGGCGAGGTCGCGGCCCTCGAGGTCACGATCCGCCGGTCGCGAGGCTGGGTCATCTACGTGACGAGCTGAGAGGAGGTGTGCAGAGGATGGTGGGAGGGTTTGGCCATGTCACCAGCTGGACCCCACGCCGACCTGTGGCGCGCCATGGTCGACGAGCTCGCGAGGGCTGCGGCCAGCCGCGCCAGAGCGCCAGCCGAGGACCGACAGCATGTGAAGCTCGCCGAGATCAAGGCCAGCCGTGTGAGGAGGAGGCTCTTGCGTGTCGCTCCCGAGGTGCTTCAGACTGAGCGTCTCAGCACTGCACGCGCTCGAGCGAGTCAGCAGCACGGGGGTGATGCGCCTGCCCCTCCACCGCCTCCTCCCCCTCCTCCTGTCGAGCGGCGTCCGCCGCCCGCCCCGGCGATAGCTGCTCAGCACGTCCTGACCGAGGACGGTCGAGCCTGTAGCGGTTGCTTCTCGCCGGGCTCCATGCCCGAGCTTTGCGCCTGGCTACATGAGTCCGTGTGCGCGCGCCGCTCGAGGCTGTTGATGGGCGTCCGCTCAGATTGCCTGCATGACGGCGTTTGCACACCGCTGGAGGTTGGGCCCACCCCTCACAGAAGTTGTTAGTTCATGGTGTGCTTCGTATGTGGTTCTGCAAATCGTGCGGCGCTTTCGGCCGAGACCAACTCAGGGGTCTAGCGAAGGCGTGCTGCACCGAATACACAACGAAGTCACGCCGCGAGCATTTAGACAGAATGTCTCGCGTCTTGCATCCCAAAGCCTCGTGTGATAGCGGAATATCCTGGAATACCCCTCTCTCTCTCTCTCTCTATTATCCTCCTCATCCTTCTCATCCTCCTCATCCTCCTCCTCTTCTTCCTCTGCATCCTCCTCCTCCCCCTCCTCGTCCTCCTCCTCCTCCGCCTCCTCCTCCTCCTCCCCAAGCTCCTGCTCCTGCTCCTGCTCTTCCTCCTCCTCCTCCTCCTCCTCCTCCTCCTCCTCCTCCTCCTCCTCCTCCCATCATCATCATCATCATCATCATCATCATCATCATCATCATCATCAATCATCATCATCATCATCATCATCAGCATCAGCATCATCATCATCATCATCATCATCATCATCATCATCATCATCATCATCATCATCATCATCATCATCATCATCATCATCATCATCATCATCATCATCATCATCATCAGCATCATCATCATCATCATCAACATCATCATCATCATCATCGTCAACATCATCCTCATCATCATCATCATCATCATCATCATCATCATCAGCATCAGCATCAGCATCACATCCTCATCATCACAGCAGCATCGTCATCATCATCATCATCAGCATCATCATCATCATCATCATCATTCATCATCATCATCATCATCATCATCATCATCATCATCATCATCATCATCATCATCATCATCATCATCATCATCATCATCATCATCATCATCATCATCATCATCATCATCTTCCTCTTCCTCCGCATCCTCTTCCTCTTCCTCCTCATCCTGCGCCTCCTCCTTCTCCTCTAATCATTAGTATTACTAATATTAGTGTTACTATTATTATCTTGCTTAGTACTATTATGATTCGTCGTCTGGATCGCCTTGTTAGTAATAGTTGTCTTCGTCTTCTTCGTCGCATTCGTATTCGTAGTACTAGCGTTCGTCTCCCTCTTCTTCGTAGTAGTATGAGTCTTATTCGTCCGCTTGTCGGTAGTATGAGTATACGGTTCGTCATAATAGTATTCATTTCACTATCAGTAACCGTCTTAGTATTAGTCTTAGTAAGATGAATAGTGTTCGCAGTATTACTGTTAGTGTTCGCATGTTTATGTTTAGTAAACATAGCATTCGTCTAACTAGTCTTATCATTATTCCTAGCAGTAGTAGTAGCAGCAGTAGTAGTAGCTGTAGTAGTAGCAGTAGTAGTAATAGCAGCAGCAGCAGCAGTAGTAGTAGCATGTTTATTCGTAATCGCATTCATATTCGTATGACTCGTCTTACATGTCGCATTGCATTGTTATCATTTTATCCGTAGTATCATTATTACTATTCGTGTTCGTGCTATTGTTCGTCGGATTCGTCTTCCTCGCATTATTCCTCCTCCTCCTCCTCCTCCTCCTCCTCCTCCTCCTCCTCCCCCTCCTCCCCCTCATCCCCCTCTTCCTCCTCCTCCCCATCCTCCCCCTCCTCCACCTCACCCTCCCCCTCCTCCTCCTCCTCCTCCTCCTCTTCCTCCTCCTCCTCTTCCTCCTCCTCCTCAGCCACCGCTACGAGCACCATCACTGCACTACTCTCTCAGTTATGGACTTGATGCAGTGGCGCCACAGAGAGAGAGAGAGCCAAAGTCGATTCGAGCCCCCTTTCCCCTGCATATCCTGCTCATTCCCCCGTTGCAACCCCCACTGTACACTGCATCTCTCTTAGCCTCCCTCCCCTCTTTCCCCTCGAGGATCGAAGTGACAGGATTGAGGCAACAGGTTGGGGAGCCTGGCAGCGAAATGATATCGTACTACTTCTGGCTTCTGGCACGTGAAAACTGCAACCCTGCCACGCAAGCGCCGTCATCCTGTGAGCACACTCCTGCAATGCCTGGCGAACGCCAGGGCCGACGCTCTAGAGGCGGAAGATGAAGGGGCCCTGGGACACTTTCTAGATTTTCGCATTCCCCCCCCCCATTCCCATATTTTCCCATATTTTCCGGGGAATCGACGACGATTCCTTGTGCCTATGTGTCCTCTCCCCTCCTGAGCGTCGAACGGCAGGGGGTTGACGCTCTGGAGGGCGGAAGAGGCTGCAGCCCCAGGAGGGAGGGGAGAGGAGAGCGGCAGGCCCACGCCGCGAGGCCAGAGCTGCTGCGTGCCCGGCGCCCGGGGAGCCGCTCTCCGATCGGACCGGGCGAAAGGGGGGGGAAAGCAAAAGGGGGCCATTGAGAACCAACTCACGTAACTGACTTTCCTGGCGCCTCCCGGCGCCGGAGGCGCCCATGTATCAAGGAATGGGCCCCTCGGTGGGGCCGAAACCAGCTGCATGCAGCAGATTTCGCAACCCCCCCTTTCCCAATCCCCCCCTTTCGTCCGGCCCGATCCGAGGTCCCCGGGGGCTGGCGGACAGGGACGTGCTTGGGCCCCCAGGGGGGGTCGGGCAGTCCATGTTCGCCGCCTCCCGAGGTCCAGATTGGTTCCCCAGGCGGCGGATACCTCCTCCTCCTCCTCCTCCTCCTCCTCCTCCTCCTCCTCCTCCTCCCAGCCGCGGACACGCGCTGTTACTCTGCAGCGCAAGCGCGAAGCAGATGCCATGCGCCAACGCCCACGGAAGGCAAGCACCGCGCAGCAGACACGAGAGTCCCGCCTCGCACAGAGAGTGCTCGCGTGATGGTTGAGGCTGACCGAGCGTGCGGTGGCTGGCGGTGAGCGCAGGCACCATATCAATGCGAGGCCAAGGTGTGCGTTACACTGAAGGATGTTCCCCCAAGGTTCTCAGAACTGCCCCCTCATGGAGCAGAGCCTACACATCGCCAGCAGAGACGCAACGTCCGAAACGCATCGCCTGTCCAGATACCAAGGTCCCGAAGTGGCAGCAGCTTGTCCAAGCTGCCAGATTCCCGCGAGTCCCAAGAGGTGGTCCTAGCGATCCCACGCGCCCTCTGGTAGGAGGTGAGGAGGGGAAGGAGTCCAGGAGGCGGAGGAGGCGCAGGAGAAAAAGGAAGAGGAGAGGGAGGAGGAGGAGGAGGAGGCGCAGGAGGAGGAGGAGGAGGAGGAGGGAGGGAGAGGAGGAGGAGGGGGAGGGAGGGGAGGGGAGGAGGGAGGAGGCCGGAGGGGGAGAGGGGGAGGAGAGGGGAGGAGGCCGGAGAGAAGAGGAGGGGGGGGAGGAGGAGGATAGGAGGGGGGAGGAGGAGGAGGAGGAGGAGGAGGGAGGCCTCAGAAGAGGAGGAGGAGGAGGAGGAGAGGAGGAGGAGGAGGTTCCTTCTTCGATTTTGGGGAGGAGGAGGAGGAGGAGGAGGAGGAGGAGGAGAGGGAGGAGGGGGAGGAGCACGAGGAGTGAGAGGAGCAGGAGGAGGCACATCGCCCACGTTCCCTCAGGACCCCCTCCTGGGCGGCGCGCACGGGGAGGTCCGAGGGGCGCGGCCTCCTGAAAATGCGGGAGGGGCCTCTGCGAAGGTTCGGTGCCAACTCACGGGAGCCTCCCATACCGTCTTGCCGGCCCTGGCTCCTCGACGCCACACCGACGCTGAACCGACGCTCCATCGACGCTGCGCCGACGCGGATCGACGCCCGGCGGCGCCACGTCGACGCCAGTGGGGTCGACGTGAAGGTGCTGCCGAACGAAAGCAGAGGGGGGGTCTCCTCTTGAGGCCCCCTCGGCGACCAAGACGGCGCGCCGGACGCCTCCAGGGCCGGTCTGCGGGGGCCGGGCCCTGCCCTTCTCCGGAGCCCGCTCGGCGGCCGAGAGGGGGGCGGCGGGCCAGAGGCCTCCGGAGCCCCGCCTCCGAGGGCCCCATGCCTTCTGGGAAGCCCCACGCCCTGTGAGCAGGCGGGGGGTCTCGAAGCCCCCTCTCTCTCGGCAGCGAGGACCTCGTGCCAGGCGCCTCCGGGCCCCCTCCCAAGGCCCCTGCCTTCTGAGAAGCAGCCCACCTTCTAAGGAGGCCGCGCCCCCCCCCCCCGCGAGCCACCCCCATGGTGTGCGCCGCTGCTCCACCTCCACGGTACCGTAAAGGCCCGATCACAAGAAGCCTTACACAAGAAACCCAACCGTGAGACCCCAGGACGTCCGTCGGTTTTTGGTGTGGAAACGTCACGCCTTCCACAGCAAAACCATCGAAACCCAAGAAACCCAGGGCACCCTGGAGGCGAGCAGGGTGCTTCTTGGCATGGGCCCCCACTGTAATCCCAGGTTGGCCCCCTGGATCACCGAGGTCCCATCGACGGCTCTGCCATGGCCTGTCGGTCAGCCAGCCTCCTCCTCCACCCGAGTGATAGGGTAGGCATGTCCCCCCAAAAATACCCAGACATGGACCAAAGATGCCCCCAAAAAAAACGTCCCCCGACTATGTGTGCCTGTTCTTGAATACTCCTCCTGCAGAGGGACATGCCCGACTTCACCCTGGCCCGTCGGTCAGCCAGCCTCCTCCTCCTCCGAGGTGTACAGAGAAGGGGGGCGCGTGCGCCGCCACGAGGCCGGCGCGGGCCCCGCGCATCGGAGAGCAGAGAGCGGCACGGGCACACAAACGCTCGGAGGCCCACGCGGAGTTCTCGGGTCGGCGCTGGACTCCTGGCGGGGAGACGCAAGACTCGGGTGCGGGGGGCTCAGGTTGGCCAGATCGGGCCATCGCAACAATGGCGAGACCCAATCTGAAATTTCACGCGAGCTCACGGTGCAGACATCCCACGCGAAAACCAGACCGTCAAAGTCCATGACGCGCTCGTCAAAGAAACGTCGGCAAGCCCGAGTGCAGGCTTACTCGAGTCTTACGTTTCCCCGATCACTGGACGCCCACAATGGGTGCGGAAAAAACGGCACGATGCCCAACATCAAATGCTTTCTCTAAAGTCGACAGCGGTCGCTATTATTGGGCAGGCGGCCCCGTGTGTCAATATGGACCACACGTCCGCAACGACGCGGGCAACGAGCAGGAGCTGCTGCTGGGCATCGTGCCCATGCTCTCCGTATCCATTTCGTTCGCGCCGAGCCTCCTCCTCTTCCTCCTCCTCATCCTCCTTCCTCCTCCTCCTCCTCCTGCTCCTCCTCCTCCTCCTCCTCCTCCTGCTCCTCCTCCTCCTCCTCCTCCTCCTTCCTCCTCCTTCCTCCTCCCTCCTCCTCCTCCTCCTCCTCCTCCTCCTCCATCCTCTTCTCCTCCTCGCCTCCTCCACCGTCCTCCTCCTCCTCCCTCCCCCCCCTCCACCTCCTCCTCCTCCTCCTCTCCTCCTCCTCCACCTCCTCCTCCTCCTCCTCCACCTCCTCCTCACCTCCTCCCCCTCCCCCTCCTCCTCCCCTCCTCCTCCTCCTCCTCCTCCTCCTCCTCCTCCTCCTCCTCCTCCTCCTCCTCCTCCTCCTCCTCCTCCTCCCTCCTCCTCCTCCACCCCTCCTCCTCCTCCTCCTCCTCCTCCTCCTCCTCCTCCTCCTCCTCCTCCTCCTCCTCCTCCTCCTCCTCCTCCTCCTCCTCCTCCTCCTCCTCCTCCTGCCTCCCCGCCAACCCCCGGGTGGCGCCCGCGGCGGCGACCCCAGCGCTGGGGGAGGAGGGCGCGGGGAGCGGGGTCCAGCGCCCAGTCGGGAGATCCGCGCGGACCTCCGAGAGCGTACGGTCAGGTCGGGCAGATCTGACGACCTACCACACCACCGCCGCAACCCAACCCGAAGACCCGAATTCCGGGTTGGGGGGGTACGGGTTCCATGTGTTTTTTTTCCATGTTCCCCGACCACCCCCCCCCACTGGAAATGGAGGGCAGATCGGGGCCTTCGGGTTGGGTTGGGGTGGGTTGGTGGGTGGTGACCTACAGGGGGATTTGGGACGAAAACTAAAACATACTCCAAAAATATTCAAAACATATTGAGAAATAGTCAAAAAAAATACCCCCACACTACTGCCTGACGATGCTTGAAGATTCCTCCTGTAGAGGGACATGCCCGACTTAAGCGTACGGCAGGTTTGCGTCGTGTCGACCCTGGCGTTGGTTCCAGACACCGCGGGGATCGCTCAAACTTGAACGAACGGCCCTTTCAGAAAAGCTGGATCCTTCAAGGCTGGGCCGATTCTGCGCCAAAGGCGGCGATTCAACCTCGAGCGCCCGCGCTGGGGTCGCCGGCGGTCGACACGACGCGAACCTGCCGTGTGCTCAGGCTGCTTCTTGTCCTTCGAGCCCCGAGCGCGGGCCCGAGCCGGCCCCGGTGGTGGTGCACCTCTCGCGAGCGGGGACACGCGTCCACGTCCGCGGCCTCGCGGCCCAGACTGCCTGGGCCGCGGCCCCAGGAAGCTCGGCGGCGAGCGGGGGGGGGAAGCGAGACGGAGGAGGAGGAGGAGGAGGAGGAGGAGGAGGAGGAGGAGGAGGAGGAGGAGGAGGAGGAGGAGGAGGAGGAGGAGAGGGCCTGGGAGCCCCCTGGCCTTCTGCGGAGTGTCCCATGGCCCTGCCCGAAGGCACGGGAAGCCCAATGTCCGGAGGTGCGATAAGTGTCCCAGGCCCTCCACGAAGGCACGGGAAGCCCATTGTCCGGAGGCGCGAGGGCCTCTCCCCCCTTCGCTCGCCGCCGAGCAGCGGAGCGGCCTGGCGCAGGCGCACCGCGCGGAGCGCATCCATGGGATCGCGCAGCCATGGGATCGCGCCTCGGCAGTGAACCCATGGGAGCGCAGCCATGGGAATCCCAGGGGGGCAGCCATGGGAGCGCAGCCATGGGAGCGCAGCCATGGGATCGCGCAGCCATGCCCTCGCGACTGGACCGCGAGGGCACGGAGCCAGAACTCCGACGCCGCGCTCTGGCCCAGGCGTGGACCCCAGACGTCTCGACTCCGTCCCCGGGCGATGCTGCTCCTCCCGAGTCCTCTGCGGACGGCCCCGAGCCTGGTGAGGTCCACCCAGGGGCCAGAAGCTGCCAGAAACATGACGTCGTTACCGCTTCGCGACGCGAGGAGGTCCGGGGACATGGACGTGTTCGCCGCTCGTGATCACGACGGTGTGTCTGCCGTCTGCGGGCCCAGAGCCAAGCGAGGGGGAACGATAAGGGGGGACTGGCTCAGAGGTTGCCAGAGTCGCAGAGGATATGGAACAAACGGGTACGATACCCAACAGTAAATGATGCCCAATACAGACAGCGACCGCTGTTGGGCAGGCGAGCTGTTGTCTCCCATGGACCACGCCCACGGCGACACAGACAGCGAGTCCTGCTTCAATATAGGCAAGAACTGCTGCTGGTGTTCGTCCCCTTCTTTTCTGAACGCAGTTGAGGGCTACGAGACTTCTACATATACACTGCTCCCTGGCCACGCCCATCCTTGACAGCAGTGTATTCGCCACGCCCTCCTGGCTTATAGCCAGGAGGGCGTATACACAGCTGCTGGGTTCATAACGGGCCTGGCCAGGGAGCAGTGGGCATGTATAGATCTCGTTGCCCTACTATGTCGGCCGTACCGAAGGGGGGGGGGACGTCGACCTGGAACTGGCGATGCCTCCCCCGTGGCTCGGGGATGCCTCCTCGACTGCAGACGCGCCACGTTCCTGGGCGGGGTGGGGCGCCCGGGCCCCGGTCGGCGCGGAGTGAGTGGGCGTTTGTACGCCGACGTTCCCCCCCCCCCCCCTTGAGGGAACTAGAAGATACGGTGGAGGCCCGACCACAAGAAACCTTCCACAAGAAACCCGACCCTGAGACCCCAGGACGTCCATCGATGTTTGGTGTGGAAACGTCACGCCTTCCACGGCAAAGCCATCGAGACCCGAGAAACCCAGGGCGATCTGGAGGCAACAAGGGTGCTTCTTGGCATGGGCCCCCACTGTACCGACGCAGCAGCTCCCACGACCTGCCCCCGGGGGGCGTTCTGACTAGACTTTCGAGGCTAATCCAGCGGTGGCGACAAGGACCTCCCGGGAGGCCCCAAAAAGACACCGTGTCCTCTGGACCCTGGGCCAACGATGTGCAGCCAACCACATATTCAGGGTGGCTCTTCTTCCATGGTCACGCATTGAGAGGTTGCAGCAAATTCAAATATTTTTGTGGCTGACGTCCCATAAAATGGTGTTCGGGTACGATGTCGGATTGCCAGGGCACAACCGTCATGTTGTTCCGCGGTGTTCAAGTTCCAGGCATGGTGCTCTGGCACGATTCGCCCAGACGCAACAACAACGGTAGTTCGCGGCGTTGAAATCACAGAAATGGCGTTCTGGCACAATTCAGGATTTTCAAACGGTTGTCTTCCAACGGGGCACTTCCCTCAGTGAACCTGAAAATTTATATGGGCCTATGAAGAGGGAACTTGGACGCGGGGTGATTGCAATACCGTTGATGCGTTTTGGGTTTGCACTGGTCCCCCCTCCTCCACCCCCCTCCTCCTCCTCCTCCTCCTCCTCCTCCTCCCCTCCTCCTCCCCTCCTCTCCTCCTCCTCCTCCTCCTCTCTCCTCCTCCTCCTCCTCCTCCTCCTCCTCCTCCTCCTCCTCCTCCTCCTCCTCCTCCTCCTCCTCCTCCTCCCTCCTCCTCTCCTCATCCTCCTCCTCCCTCCTCCCCTCCCTCCTCCTCCCTCCTCCCCTCCTCCTCCTCTTCCTCCTCCTCCTCCCTCTCCTCCGCTCCCTCCCCAAGGCATACGAGTGCCCTGCCACCCCAACGGGGCCAGTCCCGCCCTGTCGTTGCCGCTGGCCAAAGCCGAGGACGCAGCGGCGGCGCCGCTCAGCCCGCCGCGGAGTCCCGTCGAGGACAACGCCAACAGGGATCTCCCTCCGCGAGCGGCACAGGTCTCGCCGCCGTGGGTCCTCCGCCCCCCTCCTCCTCCTCCTCCTCCTCCTCCTCCTCCTCCTCCTCCTCATCCTGATCCTCCTCCTTCTCCTCCTCCTCCCTCTTCCTCAGCCGCGGGCCAGAGATGTATATGTGGGGGGGGCTGCGGCCCGAAAGAGGAGAGTCAGCGCGATGGGCTGGAAGTGTCGTCGGTGCCCGCGTTCACGGACTTGTGATTAGCACCGACTAGCGACGAGCGTTGCATAGGGCAGTCTTCAGCAGACGACAATGGACCCACAGGGGAATTGACAAATCACGGGGAGGCGGAGGTGAACATGGCGCATCCCGATGTACATGCCCACGGAGACCGCCTACTAGATCGGTCCCGAGTTCTTGCGTGACCAAGCCTTGCGGTCGTGCACGTGTTACTGCTGTTCTTGCTGACCCCGTTCCAGGCCACAACTGCATTGCGATGTTCAAGCCCATGGACACCGTGCAGTGAAGATGGCAGCGTATCATGCTTGTTGTGCTGCACTGTGCTGTTGGTTTGTTGGCTGTTACATGGGTATGGTGGGCCATCCCGGCAACGTGGGTGGTTGGTAAACCTGGTTGGCCCGCTGGCTCTCGGGGACGTGGCGGTAGCCACAAAGGCCGCTGCACCATCTCAGCGATGGAGCGCGAAGCAGGATCCGCCCTGTTGTGCAATTGGCACAAGCCTAGCGCATACGTCGCGCCCACTTTCGCTCGGGCCCCGTTCACGAACGGCCCCTTGAGAAGCACATGGTAGTCCCATTGCAGTTTTTATGTTCGGCACACTGAGAACGATTGGGATCGTAGCGTCAAGATGGCAAGAAAACGGCAAACTAAAAAAAACTGTGCTGGCTTAAGCGCTGCAGCCGGCAACGTAGACCTAGGTGGAAGCAGTTGGACATCAACACGCAACGGAACCAGGGGGCAAGAAAAAAAGGCCCGCAAGGGCGTATGGTATGCGCTCACGTAATCGTGACGAAAGCGCAGGTGATTATTATATGCAAATGACAATTCCCAAGCTACAACATGATATCCAACGTAGACCCCAAACAACAAGTTCTTGCATCATACGCGGTGCAACCCATGTGGCGCAGTCAACCTTGCAGAACTTGAAACCGTCAACTCCACTGCTCGCGAAATCATGCCACCATCCACCCGCAACTTGTTGTGCACATCACATGTGGCCGCGACTGCGGTGACTATTTGGCACCGGCTGGCGCATCTCTGCGGCTGCGCTAGCGCGCGTAAGCGCGCCCGCAGAGCGATCAGCTATTTTGGCACCACCGACACGGCCACGATGGCGCTTACCCGGCGCGCGGCACTTCAGTGCGGGTCGGTAACTCGGGTGGGCGCTGTACCATGATGACGCCGACAACGGCAGCAACAATGATGATAGTATCGGTGGTGGCAAGGCCTATGATGGCGCCGGTGGTGGTGACGACGATGACGATGATGTCCATACGTCGGTGATAAAGGTGGTGAACTGATGGTGGCGGCAATGGCGGCGATTAACGGTGATAATAACGGCGGTGGTGCGGTGGCGCTGATGAAGGTGATGATGAGGAAGTGCGCGCGAGCGGAAATTTAAGAAAGCTGGCGAGTTGTTTGTTGATCCGAATGTTTTAGAAGAGCTCTTTCTTGGAATGTAAGTTGCAGCATACCAGAAGGGGCCAATAACCTGGGGGGAGGGTGGTGAGTGCATTGTTCTTCTGGTGAACCAATGTGGTACTATCTGAGTGGTGGAACCCATGTGGTGCAATCCATGGTGTGCAAAGCAATGCCAAGCAATGCAGAGCAATGCAAAGGAACGCAACGAAATGGCAAGCGATGCCAACCAAGCAAAGCAAGGCAAATTAAGGCAAATCAAGGCAAAGCAATGCAAAGAAGTACAAAGCAACAACGCAGTGCAACGCAATGCAAAACAATGCCAAGCAATGCAAAGCAATGCCAAGCAATGCAAAGAGATGCAAAACCACGCAAAGCAAGCCAAAGCAATCCAAAGCAATGCAAAGACATGCCAAGGAATGCACATCAATGCCGAGCAATGTCGAGCAACACAAAGCAACGCAACGAAACGCGACGCAGTGCAATGCACTGCGATGACAAAAGCAACACGAAGCGATGCGAGGCAATGCAATCGCAAAGCCATGCAGAGCTGTGCAGAGCAGTGCACAGTAGTGCAACGCCCTGCGATTGCAGTGCAAATGCAATGCGATTGCAACGAAATGCGATTGAAGCGGTAGCCCTTCCCCTCCTCCTCCTCCTCCTCCTCCTCCTTCTCCTCCTCCTCATCCTCCTCCACCTCATCCTCCTCCTCCTCCTCGATCCTCCTCCTCCTCCTCCTCCTCGATCCTTCTCCTCGATCCTCATCCTCCTCCTCCTCGCCATCCACCTTCGTCCTTCCCCCTCGCCTTCCCGCTCCGCACCGCCGTGGTCGCCATCGCAGCGGCCCCCCACCGCCGGAGGCTGCGCGCGCTGCCCCTCTCAGTCCATGCGGCCCTTGAGCCTGGCGGCGCCGAGGGGGAGGGAGGGACACTGCGGAGGTGCGTGGGGTCGGAGGGGATGCAGCGACGGGCAGGAGAGCAGAAGGGCAGGCGGGCGGGAGGAGGAGGAGGAGGAGGAGCAGGAGGAACATGAAAGCGATTGTGTGTGTTGGGTCCTCCAGGGGCCATCTTGGGCCGTCCTGGGGGGTCGGCAGGGGCGCTGTATCGGCTCTGGCAGGGCAACGGCCCCGACGACAGGCCGGTATCTTCCTTCAAACTGGCGTTTGCTTTAACAACCAGTTTCGCAGAGTTCCGAATTCCGAGGAGGCAGAGGAGGACAAGAAGGAACAACAGGGTACAGTGGAGGCCAATCTACATGGAACCTTCCACAAGAAACCCAACCCTGAGACCGCAGGATATCCAATGGGTTTTGGCGAGGGAGCGTCGCGCTCTCCATCGCAAAACCATCGAAGCCCAAGAAACCCAGGGCACCCTGGAGGCCAGCAGAGTGTTTCTTGGCATGGGCCTCCACCGTAAGCCCAAGCTGCGTCAGCGGTGTTGCGAATGCGTCAGACGTGTAAGACGAATGCGCGCGGTGCTACGGCAAGAGCCCCATGTCGTTAAAGAGGAACCGCCCTACATCATTGAGACTGCTGCCACGGCTTGAGGCGGCTGCGCGCGGAGCCACAAAGGGAGCACGCTGTGGAAAAGGAACCGCCCTCCATCCTGGCAGTTGCTGCAGACGATGAAGATGAATGTACGCGGCACTGAGGCGAGGGCCCCAATTTGAACACGAGCAGCCCTCCATCCGTACAACTGTGGACAGATGGCAAGACGAATGTGCGCGGCGCTCAGGCCAGGAGGTCCATGCTTGTAAACGCTGCGAATGTTAAGCGTCGGGATGTCTCAGGTGAAACGCCCAGTCCGCCCTACCGAAACTTACGAGGGTGCCACAGGAAAAGGCCAGATAATGAGAAGGCATGGAAGAGGAGGAGGAGGAGGAGGAGGAGGAGGAGGAGGAGGAGGAGGAGGAGGAGGTAGAGGAAGAGGAAGAGGAGGCGGATGCGGAGGCGGAGGCGGCGGAGGAGGCGGGGGAGAGGGTTTTGCTGCAAGAACGATGCCTGGCGGTCCCCGCCCCAGCTCGCCACATGTGAGACGGATGGGCGGGCACTCCACCTCGGGGTGCCATCCCGCCCCTTCCAGATCAGTCCATGAGGCGCCCCCAGAACGCTGCGCACTCCTCCTGTACCAGGGAGCGCGGCTCTGCCTCCAGGGAGACCTTCACTGCGTAAGGATTTTTGCCTCGGCGCAGGAGCGAGAGGCGGTACTCTGCGGTGGGGTTCGCAGGGGCCCCCACGCAGGCAGCCAAGAGCTTGCACCCCCTCTCGCTCGAGAACACACCGCACCGATCGCAGAATGTATACTGGCCCACGCGGTGCAATTCGTGCCCCAAGGCCGCACCGCGGAGGGCGGGAGAGATGACGCCTTCCCCATCCCCCCGCCCCAACCCAACACCCCACCGACGATCCACCCTCATCTTGCCCTGGCAGGGCCTGCGCGCCAACGCGCGCCTGGTCTTGCTAGAGAAGGCCTTTCGCCCGCACGTCGAGCAACGCCACGCCCCCCTCCTCCAGAGGAGGACGTGGGCGCGGGCCCCCTCGGGCGGCCCTTGCCGCCGTCGGCGGGCTCCGCTGGAGCCCGCGGCAGGCCTCCCCGTGGAATCCCCGAAGTCCGCCGTAAGCCCCGTCACCCCCGCCACCAGAGTCAACACCGCCTGGACCTCCGCAGAGCGGGTGGTCCAGGTCTGAGCCTTCCACGGGGGGACCTCCTGCATGTCGGCCCCAAGGCGGGCCTCACAGTCTGCCAACTGATTTCCTTGAAAATCGAGGAAGCTCTCGTGCGAGTCATCCTTTGGCCCGCTAGCATGGGTTTTTACCTTGACGGCCTGGAAATCACCTTCCTGACTGAAGCTGTCCTGGATCTGGGCCCAGATTCTGCCCCAGAGGTCGGCGCGTGGCCTCCTAGGGCTGCAGCACCAGCTGGGACCTCTACGGAGGCCTCGAATGACTGAACTGTTGTCTATCCCTACCCTCAGAGGCGGGTGAGCGCTATTCAGCAGCTTGAGCAGTCCATACAGCTCAGCACGCAGGACGGAGGCTAGGCTACGCAGCCCTGGGAGGGCCCCCCGCATGGCCTTAACAGCCCCCCCGTCCTGGTCCAGGAATACGTAGCCCCAACCGAAACTCTTGAGCCCTGGTGGGCCTCTGGCCGATCCGTCGGAGTAGGCCCACCCTGAGACCAGCGGGGGATTGACAAAATCGGGGTTCTCCTCCTCCAGGGCAGAAATCCAATCAGACTGCGGGTCCTCCAGGGGGCGCTCGTGAAGCCCACGAAAGAAAAGGAGGGAGTCCGAGGTGGAGGATTCAGCACGATGCACGATCCCTTGGAGGCCCTCATCCTCGGCTACGGTGGCTCTCGCTGCTCCTCTATCGGGGCAACAAAGGAAACGATGGTGCTGGCATCCGACTTCAGCGCCGCAGGCTTGACAGGACCTGTCGTCCCCGAAACCCGCACGCCAGACCTTGTCCTGGGTCCAGAAGTCGCGGCCCATGTAGGCCAGGATAGCCGATCGCCTCTGCGGCGATCGGTTAGCCTTCCGTCGAAGGAGAGCCCTAATAGGCTCAAGGAAGGGACGGGTGATCCCGAGGTCCCTGGAAGCCGCCCAGGAGGTCATCACCGCAAATTCCAAACGGGACCAGATCAGCTTCTTAAGACACTGCGGTGCTGTCCTGCGCAACGCCCACTGCTGCCCGAGATGGTCGGAGAAAACATGATAGGCAGGCCACGTCCACGAGAGGAGTCTGAGTGTGGCCCAGACGGCTGAAGCGGGCCCTTTTATCTGCCTCCAGGGGTTGCTCCCAGGCTTGGCGGCAGCGGCCGCCGCGACAGCTCTGCGCCACCCCGCAGCCATGATCTCCTCATGGCTGCCAGCAAAGATAGCCTCCGCCCATTTGAGCAGTGGCTTCGTGCAGGCATCGACCAGGGGGTCGCAGCGCAGCGTCCACAGGCGGAGCAGTCGGTCCTTACCGATTGCGTTCCCGCCCAGCGCCGAGGCCATGAGCGCCCTTGCTCGGGTGAGCCGAGTCGGGTCCATTCCGAGGCAGACCGCCCCATACAGCACAGAAGGGGGAAATCCCATGCGCGCGACTTGAAAGGTGCGCGCGCCCTGCTTGCCTAGACTCGATAACTTACTTCTACGCCGCCTAGCGCTCCCCATTCTGGCATCGCCTCTGGCGCGCAGCGACACAACTCCTCCTCCCGCCGAGTCGGCTCCGAGCTGCGTGCTGCTGGTCTGGACCTCCAGTCCAAGGCTGCGGGCCCACCCTTTGATGCGGGCTCTCAAGGAGCGCTGCGCTGTCAGGATGAACCCCTTGCCCGTTGGCTTGTCTGGTCGGACCTGGAGACTGGGATCCCACGGGCCCCCATCACTTCTATATACTGAGTTGTGGCCGCATGCATCGAGGCCGAGACATCCGCCTCCGCACCTCGGGCCTGAATGCTTAAATCATCGACAAAAAGCTTCATCGGCAAGGCGGGGTACTCCTGCGCCAGCCCGTCTACGACTGACAAGATGGCTAGCTTGAGGCATCTCGTGCCCCCGCTGCTACCCGCAATGACTGCTGAGAATGTGGTGACCGAATGCACCGACACCACGCCGCGGAAAGAAACAAAGCGCCTGGCCGTGTATATCGAGATTAGAAGCTTCAAAAGTTACAACCGAAACTGGTGCTTGGGCGCCTCGGCCCAAAGCAAGTACATTGTGACATGCTCGAACGCCTTCTCTAGGTCTAGGACCGCCGTAGCCGTTACCTCACCAGGCTGGGCCCCTTCGTCGAACAACATTTGCTGCCAAATCGCTTCCTCTGAGCCCCCTCCTGGCGCCGCGAAGTCGTAGTCTCGTCGAATCTCCCGCTCCCAGTCATGGAGCTGATGCGAATGCGCGCGCTCCACCAGCCGCGCGGCCGTGGTGAGGAGGCCGATGGGCCGAGTCCCCCCACCCTGCTTGGCCAGCAGGAAGTACATCACGTAGCGCAGCTGGGGGGCCACCTGGCCGTGCGCGACACGCATGCGACGAAGGCTGCCAGGAAGGCAAGCCCTTCGCCCCCCAAGCTGACGAACCACCTGGGGTGCCAGCTGTCTACCCCGACCCCCGTGTGCTCTGGGAAGGCCTTGCATATGGACCTGATGTCGTCCGCCGTCGGCTCGACCATGCTATGCTCGAAAGTGGCCGATTCCCAGGGGCGTGGGAGCTCGCCTCGGCTCTGGGCGCCGTGAGAGGTCCAGAGGTCGATCCACTTCAGCGCCTCCAGGTCGACCGCGGCCTGAGGGCACGTCATGTCCAGGTTGGTGTGCCCTCGGGCCCCAAGCGCAGGGTCGACCCCCTGGCGCCACTTCGACATGCGGTGGACGAAGCCTGCACCTCCTTGTGAGCCGCCCTTAGCCCCTGGCGCCACGCCTTGGCCCTCTGGTCTCGGAGTCCCTGATCGATGACGTGGGCCTGCTGCGTGGCCCGACGCTGCAGCTCCATCGCCCTGGGGGCATCCTCCCAGAGCGCGTCGCCGTCCCAGGTGAGGTCGCCCAGCGCGAGGAGCTCGGCGTGCACCGCCTTGGCGTCGTCACCCAGCGCGTCGCACCAGCGGGCTGCCCCGTGGTGAAGGCGCCTGCGCAGGCGCCGCCACTGGTCGGCGTACGGCTGCCAGTCGCGCCTCTGACGGGCCGCCTGCGCCAGCCAGACGATGTCCCCGACACGGCTGGCCACCCAGCGCCATGCCCTGGAGCGCGTGGTGCCCCTGGGCCTCGCATGCGCCTCTGGGCCTGCGATCGGGGCTCTGGCCCATCGGGGGTGGCCCTGCAGGTCGTGGATGCCTCGCCGACGAGGTAGTCTGCCTCGCCGACGAGGTCGTGGATGCCCTGCAGGTCGTGCTCGGCCGCCGCCGAGAACCCCGCCCACAGCTCCTCCAGC